GTGACAGCGGCGCCNCGGCCTCGCACTGCACTCCCCCATTGCGCTTCTTCTTGCGTGTGCGGCGGCTGCTGCGATGGTGGCCGCGTGAGAGGCACGGAGAGAGGGAGAGGGCTGTGCGCAGCTCGTCCTTCTCTTTGTTTCTCTCTTTGTGTGTGTGCTCATGCACGATTGTTCGCCCTCGCCCCACCCCACGGGACACACGCGTAATGTGCTCATATATACACGCACACTCATGCAGGCCCGTTGGGTTTCCTTTTTTAAACTATTTTGCTTTTGAGGGGCCGCTGCCGTCCTGCCTGGCTGCATGGGTACATCAACAGCACCGTAACAGATTTAATCTTTTTTTTTTTACTGTTTGTTTTCATTTCTTTCAGTGGGCGAGCTCCCTATCTCTTTCTCTTCCTGATCTGGGCTTTAAGGGAAGAAAGAGCGTGTGTGTGTGCGCGCTGGTCGTTCCGCTTGCTGCTGCGCTTTTCTGCTTTGGCTTTACCTCACGGGGTTTGTGGTTTATCTTTTTTTTTGTTTGTGTGTGTATTTTGGTTGACTGCATTCATTTTGCCGCCGCGTGTGTGTGGCTTGGGAGGTCGATACTGCGCCGTGGGTGCCGCTGCCAGCCAGTTGTGTGCGCCAGCTGTGTCTTCGATGCCACCAGTCACTTCAATCGCCGTTTGGTCTGTTGCTGAGGTGAATGGTGAGGTTGCCAGCATTGCGCAGGCCAACGATGAGGAAATGAAAACCACTTTGGCAAAACCCATTGAACCCACTGCGTCTTGGATGCCAGTGCTTGGGCGGTGAGACCTTTTAGCTTTCTGCTGAGCCGAACGAAGAGCATCGGTGAGTCGTTGCTGCCGCTGATTGGGCTCATGAGCCGCCCAAGTAATTCTTTGCGTACACGTGCGGGCTCACTCTTTTTTTTTGTGATTTTTTTTTTTTGTGCCGCACCTTTTGTTTGTTGTTTTTTTCCTTCTGCTGATGGTTCTCTTGCTGCTCTCAGTCTCCGTACGGAGAAGTGGGCCTCCTCTCATGCCTTTATGCCGTTCCTGCCCTCAGCCGCGTGGCAGCGTGCCCACCGGTTACGCACATGAAAGGGGCAGCGAAGCCAAGCAGCACGCAGCCGTAGCGAGTGGGATATTAACGGGGCGTGGGCGAGAGGAGGGCCCAATTGAGACGAAACGACCACATCTTTTTTTTCTTTTTCGGGTGAAATATGAAGTCAACTTTGGGAAGCCACGCACCGCCACACGACACGCAGCGGCTT